TTAAGCGACCAATTACTTGTTGAGCGACAATATCAACTTTCGCTCGGGCGAGTAATGTTCGCTCAAGTGAGTAGAAACCCGAAAATTTTGTCGTATTTTCGCTTAAGCGAGAATGGATGTCACTTGAGCGAGTTTCCAGTTAAAAATCTTTTTTCTTTCAATTTTTCTTCAATTATCTTCACAATTATGATCTTTTCTCTTATATCAAGGTATTCTACCAATTCATCTTACATTGGGAGAAAAATAGATTAAAATCAATATAATTGAAGTGGTTGCATAACAATTAAGAGCATAATATTACATCAACTTTTACCACTTAACAAACCTGCAAACCAAGTTTTCTTATTCTTTAAAGCCTTCTGGTTGGAGCATATAAATTTCCTCTTCAAGATCTCCATGAACAAAAACAGTCTTTACATCCAATTGTTTAATATGTAAATCAAATGCAGCATACATAACCAGGGCAACTCTGATGGACTTCAATCTAATAACCAGCGAGAATATCTTATTGAAATCAATACATTTTTTTCTGAACATATCCCTTTACCATCAATCTAGCATGATATCTTTCTACTTGATTATTGTCATCTCTCTTGATCTTATAGACTCATTTGCTATCAATGACTTTTCGACCTTTTGAAAGTTCCACAAGATTTCATGTCTTATTTTTATGAAAAACCTCAATTTCTTCCTGCATTGTAGTCATCCATAGAGAAACATATGAACAACTCATAGCCTTTTGAAAAGTTGAAGGTTCTCCTTCTTCATTTAGAAGATAATATGCATCATAACTTGCCATCACATATTGTGAATGCCAAAATGGTCTACTTTTTTCTCGTGTTGATCGTCGGAGATCTCTATTACCAACCTCATTTGACTCTTGATCTTTGTGCTCCTCTTCTGACTCAGACGAGTCATCCGAAGACTTCTTCTCTATCTGTAGTATAACCTTGTCCTTTATCAAGTTAACATTGTGTAGTTCATTTTCTGCAAAGACTACATTTCTGCTAATAATAACCTTGTGGGAAGTGGGATCCTACAAGCGATACTCCTTCACATTGTCAGCTTAGCCTAAGAAGATACATTTCCTAGATTTTGGATCCAATTTTATTCTTTCTTGAGTGTTGTACATCACGTACACAAGACAACCAAAAACATGTAAGGATGAATAATCAGCTCGTTTACCTTTCCATAACTCCATTGGTGTGCTCAAACCAATGACGACTGACGGTGATCAATTTATAACATAACAGGAAGTTTTAACCGCTTTTGCCCAAAAATACTTGGCTACTCCAGCTGTTCGCAACATAGCTCTAGTTCTTTCTACGAGAGTTTTATTCATCCGCTCTGCTACAACATTTTGCTGAGGCGTATGTGGGATAGAAAAATTGTCTGGTGATATCCTATTGCTTGTAAAATGCTAAAAATTTCCGTCTACATATTCTCCTCCATTATCTATCCTCAAGCACTTAACTCTTTTCCCAGTTTCAAGTTCTACTTGTGCTTTGAATTCCTTGAACTATGAAAACACAAATGACTTCTTTTTTATAGGCTACACCCACAATCTCTTGGAGTAATCATTGATAAATGATACAAAATATTTTGCTCCTCCGAGGGATACTATCGGCGATTCCCACACATCATAATCAATCAAGTTCAATGTGTTTACTTTTAGCAATCACTCTTGCAAACTTTAATTTATGTTGCTTGCTTATCACACTGTGCTCGCAGAAGGATAAACTAACCTCTTTAAGTCTGGGTAAGAGATTACGTTCTACTAGAATTTTCATACCACTTTCTAACATACGACCAAGCCTATGATGTCACATGATTACTGCATCTTCCTGACTTGTTGCCGCAACTGATGCATCCGCTTTTTGCAACGTATCTCCAAGCAGCACATACAAATTTGCCATGATCTTCTTTGCCTTCATGACCACCAAACTCCCCTTCACCACCTTCAAGATTCCACCTTCAGTATGGATCTTACACCCGAGGTCATCTAATTTCCCAATGAACAATAAATTCTTCTTCAAGTCCTTCACATGTCATACCCCTTGAATTGTGCGAATAGTATCATCATACATTTTAATTTTGACGATACCAACTCCAGTAATCTCCAAAGCATGGTTGTTGTTTCCCATGAAGACGGACCCACCTGAAATAGTTCATAAGTGTGAAACCAATCTCGGTGCGGAGTCATGTGTCATGTTGCACCTGAATCCATTATTCACTTGTCATTAAATTCCTTTTCACCGTTAGAGCTAATTACTGCTTCGCTCACCAGAATATCTCCTTCTTTTGAGGTACTTACAATACAACCTTATGAGGTTGATTCTTCATAGTTGTTTCCTCCATTCTTCCTCTTCCAACACTCTTTTATCGTATGTCCTTTATCGCCACAAAAGTAATATTTGATTTTAGAACTCTTCTTACTTTGATCTATCATTATTTTGATTCTTACTTAAACCACGTTTCGTTGACCTTCCTCTTATCATCGTCAAAGTCTCTGCTTGTTTGAAACTTTTGCCTTTACTCATCCGCTTGGATTCATCTTCAAGAATAGTTCCGATAATATCCTCAAAGTGCATATTCCCATCAATATTATTATTTATAATATTGATGATGAGTTGATCATACGAATCAAGTAAACTTTGAAGTAGAAGCTCTACACGTTCATTTTCATCTATGTTGAAATATGTCGTTGATAGTTGGACAAACAAGGTATTCAAATGGTTGATGTGGTCCGTCACTGATGTGGACTCACTCATCCGAAGAGTATAGAGTTTTCTCTTTAAGAATATTCTTGTGTGAAGTGACTTCACCTCATATAGTTTAATGAGAGTATCTCAAATCTCCTTCGCAGTAGTCTTCTTCGCAACACTGGATAAAACTGAATCTGTCATTGATAAGTGCAAATTCGCAATAGCATTGTCGTTCATTTATTTTCATCGTCGTTCATTCGTGAGTGTCACGGTTCTTTCTGCAATTGCATCAATACAATTGTCTTTCCTCAATATTGCCTTTATCTTCAATTTTCACAATGAAAAATTACTCCCATTGAACTTCTCTATCTCATATTTTATTATCATGGTTCCAAACTAACTTATGTAATCCTCATTATGAATAATATTGCTTACTGGAACAATAACGATAGACCGTGAACCAAGGAAAGAGATGTGAGTCATTAATGGACACACTTAAATACAAAGTCTTTCCTTGTCAGAACTTTTCCTAAACATGCACTACCAAATAATATCCAGTAACAAGAATAATTATTTTCTGATGTGGAAAATCAGATTAACCGTAACCACAGAGCATACTAAGAATTTTCTTCAACACTATTCTAATGACTATACAACAGAAGACCAATATCACACCCTAGTGACTCTGATACCACAACCTAGTGGCTCTGATACCATTATTAGGTATCAGACAAAAGTATAAGCACACACAACTAACATAAAAAAATGAGAAAAACATCGACAATAGACAAAAGAGTAATTCCATAAATGAAAGAAATTACAACTCTTCTCTCTCTATCTCCAAGTAGGAAACAATAATACCCTCTCATAAAAATAAAGGAAAAATAACTCTAAGAGAACTTAAAAGGAGAAACTATTTTTCTCTTTTAATTTATCTCTCAAGTACTAAAGCAACAAAAGAAAGAAAAAGAAATTATTTTGGTGTGTTTTACAATGTAAACATTGTGCTCCTTTTATAGTAAAAAAAAATCACCAAAGTAAGATTTGTTTGATGTGAAACTTCTCTTCTCACACACACAAGACAACGAAGCAAAGTAACTACTTACTAATCAAGTCATAGCAAAATACACATGTTTGACTTTTTCATACTTAATTCATCACCACCTTAATCTTCTTCTACTCACATAATAAAAGTCAACTCAAACACACACACTTGCGGACCTTACCACAGGGACGAGAAACACATTCAAAAAAAAACAAAACCTTCTTGCTAAAGTCAAGTAACAATATTTTTCTTTAAGTTTCAATAAATTAAGATAATTGCATGTTTTAATCAAACTGTTATTAGGTTATCCAATGTGAGATGGTGTGTTATGTCGTTAATGGAACACTCGTATCCTTAATTTGAATATAAAAATTAAAAATCATCAATTTTTTAATGTGAAAAAGTATATTAAAATTTTAATTAATCACAAATATATAATAAAATGATAATATACAATTGAAATATAAACCTTATTTTAAAAATAAATTTTATAGGATTTAGTAAGAGCTCCTCATTTTTAAGATAATATTAATAATATAAAATATAATGTTTTAAAATAAATTATTAAACCCTTATGATATCGGATACTTTAGAGACAGCAAACAAGTTCACATGTTTTTTTTTTTTAATCAAAACTAGAAAAAGACAGACATAGTGAATAGAGAGTTGCAACTTGGAAGTTCTTTCAGAAAACAAATGGCAGAGTCTCGTTATTATTGGAATTTGTCTCTCTCCATGCACTTTTAATATTGGTTGCGATTTTGTTTTTCAACGCTTCAAGCTTCCATCAACCTTAGAAATTAATACGGCACGCCAATGTAACCAATCAAGTAGGACAATGGGGACAATGGACCTTGTTTCGCGTTTCTCACGGTCAGGTTAGAAATTTTGTCACTTGAATACAGCGTAAGTAAGCTTTCAGAATTTATTTGAACGTATGATATAATTAATACATCGTTGGCAGCATATGCCTTTTTGCCTTTCATGTCAATGATGCTGCAAGTTGATCATTACTATACAAACAACTTGGTCAGAAAAAGCACTGTTTAGTTAACCATCAGTTTCATCTCCAAAAAGGTTCAATAAATCCATTTATCATTTAATTCATCAAAAGTCAAACCCCGTTCGTTTATTGTACATGACACACAAACAATATAATAGTATTTTACGAGTTAATATAAGACCATAGACACTTACTGCTTCTTCATTAGCATATTCGAGTGGTTCATCAATAAGCAGAGAGAGAGAGTATGGGAGCTTGTTTTTCTTGTAACTCATCCTCCACATTAAAGAATATTCGTGTTGTTCATATGAATGGTTTTGTAGAGGATTTTGAGCAACCAATTTCAGTGAGGCAAGTTATTGGGTACCCCTCAAAACAATTTGTTTGCACTTCCACTCAGCTTCTTTCCACTTCCTCAAAATCAATGAATGGAGACACACACCTCCAACCTGGGCAAGTGTATTTCATGCTGCCATACTCAGTACTACAAGCTGATGTTTCGCCTTTGGACCTGGCTGGCCTTGCAAAGAGACTCAACGCAATAGCCAAAGCAGGTCCTTTGTCGAACCAAAATCAAACAGGTTGGTGTTCACCTTCTAGCAGTCCCGGCAAAGTTGGTGTGGCAGAGCAATATGGTGTTGCTAAGATGAATATTGGTGGAAGAAGCCCTTGTAAATTGCAATGGAAACCTATCTTGGACACCATATCAGAGAAGCCATTCCATAGGAGGAGTGAATCAGATTGGCAAGAAAGTTACTTGGAAGACCTTGCAGTAACCAGATAAGACCAACACATGTAAAGTGGTGTGTTTTGATTATTAAAAAAATTTAGAAACTTGTTTCAGTTTGCTGAAACTTTCATTTTGGGGAATTATTGCATGATATGTATTTTAGAGTTTTTGTATCTGATTCTCCTAAGCTGTACTGACTAATGTCTCAGAGGACATGGATATTATCAAGCACCGGATATTGTAAACTTCAAATCCAAAATTTTATTTAAACTGAAAGTGAGTTAAAATATAGGAGAGATAGGTTTCATGCAACGTTTGGTCAATTCTTTAGATTTTGTTATTTGCTTTCCTTAGAAATATTGGGGAAAAAAAAGGTGAGAATATGTGCCCCACCCTAAGGGTGGTATGTTTATCCTACAATCTCTGCAGGTTGGGGTTCCAGAAAAATGTGATCTAATTAGAATTTTCTGAACTCATTAGTTTAGTAGGTTTGGAGAGTGGATTAGGCTAGTATTTCTGCAGATATCTAATTACATGTCTATTTGGTAATAAATATTTGGTAGCACAAATGATGGGAAATGATTTATTCATGAGATGGTTGGAATTGGGTAACCAAATAGGAAAGTGCTTCTCTATATCATGAATTCAATAGAGACAATATTTTAATGTTCCAAATATATTCCTTTGAATGGAAACAACTTGGATGATTCCTTTTCCTGCTCATGAGTTCATAACCAACATGTGATTAACTTTTTGGTCTTTGTAACATACAAATTGGTCTTGATGACTTTTATGGTATCAGATTCTCTCTGAGTTTTAAAAATACAGAAATAGTGCTAAAAGTGGCATCAGTTTTTTGGTAACAGCTTTGAAGCATACCTTTTGAATTGGTGAACAGTCCCAACCCTCTTCTTCGCTGTAAGACACCAGAAGTGTTTTGGAGCCCAATTTTCCCCCTTTGACTCTCTTTCTCTCAAGAGCTCCTCTGTTTCTGTTGGCCACACACTCTGATAATGTACAACCCACTTTCATATCAAACTCAGGAAGACATACATGCACACTCACATTTTCAGCAAGAGAAATTTAAAAAAAGATCATATTTTGTGGAAAAATGGAGGAAGAAGAAACTAACAGAAGAAAGTGAAATATGTTGGATCCTTGACAATAGGAGCTTGAAGGCCAGAAATAACTTTTTTTGCATCATATATCACTCTTGCTTCCGTGTTAGATGTACTTTTCGCTGTTACAGTACTGTTGCATTTTTTGGATTAGGATATTTGAAGGAAACAATTAACAAACATTGCTTTTTATGTTAAGGAAATAAAAAGCCGAAGACGTGCTTTGAGGTGACAAATAGGTTATTAATAGTTAGTTCAAAGAGAGATTACCTATCCCCATGACCTTCAATTTTGAGTAGAATGAATCATAGACTGTTGTTCCTTTAATCAGTCTTCGACCTGCCCCAAATCCAAAGAAAGATTGCCAACCCAATCAGTCCCAGGGATTGGAAGCATTCTGATAACTAGATCAGGAGAATTCATTTCATACGTCTCTCCATGATTGTGGAGCTTCAACTGTCGTTTGCCATGCACCTTAGTTTCTATTGAAGTACCTCCATATTCGGTTTTGCTTTTGTTATGCATCGATTAACTACAATTCAAAGTTTGAAGTAAGAGAACAATAGAATTCAGAACATCCATGCTCCAAATCATCAACTAAGCAAAATCAAGAATCAAAAGATGTTTGATACTGATGTCATTTGATACTATATTTATCTAGATATACATTAGATAATAGATAAATAGATATATATACCACTGAAGTTTGAAACCGGAGAGTGGCACCATGTCATTTCTATGCCATAGAGGGCATATACCGGAGGGTGGTGTGAAACCTGCAAACACAAGCAGATGCATTTAAATCCTATAATCCATCTATCTTAGAAAAAGGAGAAAAAGGTGTGCAGATTATAATTAAGCATTTTGAGGCCAAAATGAGAACGATAAAAATAATGAGTAGTACCTGCTGGAGTAAGACAGTAAGGTTTCCTTTGAGTCTCACCAAGAGTGGGATTGTAGGGTGCAACTCCAAACCTTAGTGGGCGTGGGGTAGAAACGGTCCATACTACTACTAATATGAGTCAATAAAGTGGAGTCTTGCCACTGTTGAGGTTGCTTAGCAAATCTGATGCTGTGCAATATATAGATTCTGCATAGCACTGTAGTTGTGACTTCGGCATGTTGAACATAGGTGACAACTGCGGAATACAGATTCGACAACCAAATCCAACTATTATGAATTATGATGAAAACTATGGGCCTAACGAACCCATGGGCTTTGTCAACAAAGGGCCTAAGAAAGTAAGAAGTTTTGATATATTCAAATATATTTTAGTATTTGTTTATTTTAATATATATATATATATATATATATATATATATATATATATATATATATATATAAATCGGTTTAAGCAAAGTGCTAGAGATTAAATTCTACTTTTGTAATAGAAATATATGTGTAATTGTGTTTTATATTGTTACATTTATGAATTTTAGTTCTACAAATTTGTAATTATTTTTTAAAATTTTTTATGAATAAGTATTATTTTAAACCATTAATATACAAAAAAATTAAAAATAATAAATTAAATTAAGAAATACTTTTCTTCTATTTTATTGAATGAGAAGTTGGCTAATATATATAGCCTTATATAAAGTTAATAAAGCTGAAAATAGTCTAGGCAAGTGGCCTATTACTTCCTAATATCATGATAGTCTTATTCAATAATAAAAATTGTATAACAAAACAGCTCTTAGATTTATGGAATCATGAAATTGATTAACAAATTCTCCTTTAAACTCAAAGTTATATGCAATCAGTTTATATCAGACGCTGAACAGACTCCTAATGACTTGCGTAGTTTTATATAAGTATCCAACTTAAGTGGTTTTGTCATAATATCAGCCACTTGTTCTTGTGTCCAACAATGTTTCATTTCAATAGTTCCTACCTTGGTTATACATCTAAGAAAGTGAAAGCGTACGTCAATATGTTTGTAATGACTATGTATTATGGGATTCTTTGAAAGCTTAATGGAAGAGCTACTGTTACACTGGATTATAGTAGTCTTATTTTGCATTTTGCACAACTTTCCTAACACTCTTTTCAACCATATGGCTTGACAAACACATGATGTTGCACCTATAAACTCAACTTCTTTAGTTGATAGACTTACAATTGGTTGTTTCTTTGATGACCAAGAAATAGCAGCTAAACTCAACAAGAAAACATAATCTGAAGTGTTTTTTCTATCATCCAAGTCCCATGCATAATCACTATCAGTGTAACCAAAAAGTTCTTGGTTTCCTCCCTTCTTGCAAAAAATTCTAAATCCAATTGTTCTCGTTAAATATCTCAACACCCTTTTAGCTGCTACTAAATATAGTTCCGTGAGATTCTCCATATATCTACTAATTAAATTCACCACAAACATCATATCAGGTCGAGTAAATGTAAGATACATAAGACTTCCCACAATTTGTTTATAGTAGGTCTTATCCACCTTTACACCACCCTCATTCTTTGTGAGTTTAGCCTAGGGAATTGGAGTTTGCACAGAATTGCTTTTATCCATTCCAAACCTTTGCAACATCTCTAATGCATATTTCTTTTGATATAAAAAAATGTCATCCGATCGTTATACAACTTCAAGACCCAGAAAATACCTCATTTTTCCAAGATCTATTATATAAAATTCATGCTTCATGGAACTTTTAAATCTTTCAAACATCGCCTCATCATTTCCAGTAAAGATAATATTATCAACGTATAAGCTAACAATTAACACTATATCTTCCTTTTCTCTTTTCACAAATAAGGTATGCTCATAGTCACACTTTTCAAATTCTTCTTTCAAATAATATGCTTCTATACGACTATACCAAACACATGGTGCTTGCTTGAGTTTGTATAGAGCCTTCTTCAGTCTATATACTTTATGCTCGTCTTCCTTTTTTTCATAACCACAAGGTTGGTCCACATATACTGTTTCATCCAACTCATCATTTAAGAATGCTGACTTTACATCAAGTTGATAGATTGTCCGTCCCTTTTGAGCTGCAAGTGCTACAACTAACCTGATTGTCTCCACGTGATCTACTGATGAAAATACTTCAGTATAGTCTACCCCATACTCTTGGGCATACCCCTTCATTACAAGTCTAGCTTTGTACTTGTCTACCTTTCCATTCTCTTTGAATTTAGTTTTATAAATCCACTTCACTTTACTTTCTTTACTCCATCCGGTAAATCCATTAATTCCCATGTGCCATTTCTATTTATTGCTTCCATTTCCTCATCCATGACTTTCCTCCCTTTTTCAATTTTAACCGCAGTATCAAAATGAGTAGGGTCACTTTCACCAGCTACTAACATAGTAGACAATGCTAGATTAACATTAGTATTACCTTCAGAAAATCTTTCTCCAGTTTCATAGTCTTCCATCCAAAGTGGTGGTCTTCTACACCTTTGCTGATCGGGACTGAAAGTGTTTTCTTCTATTGTAGTATCAGAGGAAGTAATTTCTTAATTTTGGTTATCTATGTTATTCTGCCATGCCTCATGTTCTTCTGCTGTAATAGCTTCGTGTTCTTCTTCTATAAGAGTTTCCACATCCTTATCACCCCACTTTAAATCACATAAGACGACTTCTTCATACTTCTTATCCCAATCCCAACTTTTGTCCTCGTCAAATACAACGTCCTGCTTATAATAATCTTCTGTGAAATTGGATCATAAAGTTTGTAAGCTTTTGATACTTCACTGACGTCCAATAAAACACAACACAAGCTTTTATCATCTAGTTTAGTTCTCTTAGCATCAGGCACATGTACATGACAAAGACATCCAAAAACTCGAAAATATGTAACTAAAGGCTTGACTCCACTCCAAGTTACCTCTGGCGTCTTGTTTTTCACAGCTAATGTGGGACATCGGCTCAAAACGTGCACGAACCAGGTTACAGCCTCAGCCCAAAAATTTTTGGGCATTTTCTTCTCAGAAAGCATGCTCTAAACCATGTTCATAATGATTTTGTTCTTCTATTCAGCAATCCCGATCTATTGTGGCATATATGAAGCTGTTAGTTGTCTACGAATACCATTTTCACAGCAAAAATTAGTGAATTCTTTTGATGTAAATTCACCCCCTCGATCAATGTGCAAGCCTTTGATTAATGAATCGACTTCTTTCTCAACATGAATCTTTAAAATCTTAAGGATGAAAGAGCTTATAATTTTTCTGTCAAGAAATAAATCCAAGTTTTTCTGTTGAAATCATCAATAAAGGTGAGCAAATACCTCTTTTTGCTATTGGAGACTGGTATGATTGGTCCACAAATGTCTGCATGGATTAGTTGTAGAACTTGCGTAGCTCTCAAAATACTCTTCTTAGGGAAGGAATCGTGAGATTGTTTTCCTACCAAACAATCTTGCACAATATTTTAGGTTCCTTCATTATTGGCAAACCATATACCCTATTGTGTTGGGCCAACGTATGTAAACCCCGAAAATTTAAATGCCCATATCGGTAATGCCAAAGATGCATTTTATCCTCGATTACTATTTGAAAGCAAGTGGATTCAATAGGTTTCGACATGACATGAAGTATGAACATTCGGTTTGAGGATATTCTAGTTTCCATGATGAGACCGCTTTCAGGATAGAATACTTTGCACTTTCCATATTGAAATAAAATAATAAGTCATTTTTCTTGTACTTATCCAATACTTAGTAAGTTATTCCTTAAATCAGACACAAAAATACTCCAATAATAATATAAATTTTATCATTCATATTTAACATAATGTTACCTTTGACAATTATATCCATGCTAGAATTATTGCCCAATTTGACAGAATCTTTGTGACTTTCATCCAGATATGAAAAATACTCCTTTTTTTGGTACATGTGATTGTTACATCCGGAGTCAAGAAACCAAACAATTTCTTCATTTGTCTTGTTTATATCATTGTAGACCATCAATAACATTTCTGCATTGGTCTCTACAAAGTTGGCTTCTTTCTTCTGATTTGAACATTCCCAGCTGAAGTGCCTGAGTTGATGACAAGTATAACACCCCACATTGGATTTGTCAAATCCATCTCCGCGGCCAAAGCCTCCACGACCTCGTCCCCATTCTGCAGTGTGATTTGTATGAGCAATTTGTAGGGCCTGCTCCTCTGCAACATGAGAAGCCATGCATAATTCATGGACAAGCATGCTCTGCAGTTCATCAATGGTCAACATATCGGTATCTTTGAATTCTTCAATGGAACATACAACATAATCAAACTTTGGAATCATGGATCTCAGAATTTTTTCAACTACAGCAATATCTCCTTTGTTTTCACCATTTGCCTTCATCTTGTTGGCTATGGAGAGTGTCCGAGAAAAATACTCATTTACGGATTCCCTTCTTTCATACGAAGGATTTCAAATTCCTTTCGTAAAGCTTGCAACTGTGTCCTCTTAACACATGACCTCTTAACACATGACCTCTTAACACGTGAAGTGTCTTAATATTTTTGCTTTAAAGAATTTTATATATTTTTTGTTGTGTTTTTCTTAAGAATTATCTCCAGAAGTGAATGATTCAATGCTTGAAATAAGTAATTCTTTACCTCAAATCTTTTAATCTCTAATCATCTCTATGCTTCCTCATTACTTCGGTAAGAGGTGTTTCGTCTGCGGATTCAAGAACTCTATTTTCCACTAAACTCCAATACTCCATTGAATACAAGAAGTTTTATATGAGCATGATTTGGGTATAGCAGGTTGGACTCCATTTTTCACTCAACTCCAATACTCCTTTAAACGTAATAAGTTTTTCATGAGCACGACGTAATGATCATAATACCCATGAAACTTGGGTATAGCAGGCTGCACAAATGAGCTTTCAGATGTCGTGTTATTTTAGAAGACTGCTGCTTCTATTTTGGATCAGACCCGTGATGGAGCTCTGACAGCAGATGTTGGAATATTAGGTGTATAAATGTGGTACTGTGAAAGAAATATTTTTTTTTCTGTGTTATTGAAAGAGAAGTTGGTTAGTATATATAGTCTTACATAAAATTAATGAAACTCCACTACTTCTTAATACCATGATAAACTTATTCAATAATAAAATCTGTATAACAAAACTACTCCTAGACTTAGGGAATCATGAAATTGACCAACACTACGGCAGGTGACATACAAAGCATTTAAGCACCATGGATTTAGACCATCTGAAGTTCATCGGCACCAACGTCTCTACGATAAATACAGTTTTATCGTACCATTCCTTCTATCGGAGACTATTTAGAAAAAAGTTCTTATAAATAAAAAATATTATTTTAATATAAATCTTATCTATAGAAATATTTAAAAATATTAAAGTTTTAAATTATTTTATATTAAAATAATATTCTTTTTTTTAAGTTATTCTCATCTAGATTAAAGAGAATAAATATGTTTTTTTAAACTCGTATATATATATATATAATTATATATTATATTATGATATTTAATTGATTTAAATATAATAAATTTAATTTCTTAAATCTTATTTAATATTATTATTTTTAAAACACTCTATCTTTAAACTCAAATATCAGCTTCAATAAAAATTAATTTGAGAGTGCCTGAGAAAAAAATCTCTTTATTTATGAAAACAAAAATATCAAATCAACTTCTGACTACTGTTCTTACTATTCTTCATAGTGTAAATGTGCTACATTTGAATGTAATTAGAAGAAATAGTAGCTACTTGAATACTAGTTTATTATAATAGTTAAATTCATTTAATATATTTTATTCTAAATTACCCACAAATTATATTTATTAAAGTTATATTTATGTTTAAGATAAATTTTTTTGAAACAATAGTATTAAATAAAGTTTATAAAGTCTACTGAATATAACTTTATTTTATCGTGGTCAATGTTATTTGTTTCGTTCAAAATAATTTTCAAATTATAGGTATTCATAATTTTTTTCTATCTTAATTACTTTTAAGAATAGTTTTTCGAATTTGAATTTTAAAAATAATTTTAAAAACATACAAATTAAATTAAATCAAAGTCACCCTTAATATTTTATTAAAATATGTACATATCAATCAATTTAAAAAAATTTATATAGTTAAATCTTCACACATAATGGAAGATAAGAAGTAAAAAGAAAGAATTGGTAAAAACAAGAAAAAACTAATTGATGTTACAATTTTATTTGGACTTGAAAAATAAAAAAATAACCATTATCATACTTATTAGAAATAGTAATTAGTTCATTTAATATTCTTATTTTCATACAGTAAAAATATAAATCTTTACTAAAATATTTTTATTTATATTTATTGGGAAAACTGTTTAAATTTAAAAAAAAATAAAGTTGTTTTTAAAACATTTAAGTAGTTAAAATTTTGTTATATTATCATTTAATTTATGATGGAGTATTGAGAAACCATAATTATGGGTTTTAATGTAAAATTAAAATGGAGAATTACTCCATACATGTGATTGATTATTAAAACTCCAAATAGATTCTTCTAATTATTGAATGAATTGGTGGTCACTCTTCCTCCTCATTTTGACTAACTTATAAGTTCCATCTAAATAAAAGTATTAATTACTCATTCTTTCATTGGTTTGATTAAGATGTCTAATAAGAATAATTTACAATTGTTTTTATCTTTAAAAATATAAAATATAAATTTATGTGACATTATTTTTGAATAATTTATTATTAATTTTATTTTATTAATAAATTTTAAGGATTTTTTTCTTTATTTATTTTTATAAATTGTTCGATGGCCAAATTATAAATAAATTTAAATAATTTATCATGTCATTCGGAAATTATTTCAAACAATTATTATTTTATTCAAGCATTAATTACTCTTTATTTTATTGATTTATTATTTAAATTTAGTTCTCTTAATTAATATTACTTTATAATTCACTTAAATTTTTTCTTTCATATAATTTTCACCTACTTATAATTTAATATATTTAAAAATAAAAATTTGGAGAAATTAAATAAAATGACATAATATTAACAAAAAAAATTAAACAAAATATCATAATAACAAAAAATATATAAAAAACCTTCAATCACTTGTATTATTATAACGAAAATAAAATAAAATAAAATTATTTTACGAAGGTGGTTTTTGCTCAGGGTACTTGGTTGAGTTCTCTTTCTGAGAGAAATTAAGAATACAGAAAGCAACCAAGGTTTATTATTTTAGTCACATATTTTTCTTTTTTATCAACCTAAAGCTAGCAGAGTGGGTCCTTATAATAAATCTTATTCTATTGGTAGTTGAAGGTGAATTAGTTGGGTTAACCATCAATGGAGCTGTATAATTAAATACATGGCTTAATGTCACTATTAATTACATGCATTGGACAATAAAAGTAAAAGATAATGTGTGTGTTTACCACATAATTTATCCTAATAAAAATTAATGATTATTTCTTTGCCACCCAATCTTAAACATCAAATATATACTTAACTTAATCTTAATTATTGTTATTTTTGTTATTGGTGGTAAGGCAAAGCTTGAAGAAGATTCATTCTAAATTGTTTAGAGATGTTGGCATTGGGTTCGCCAACGTGGGAGATTTATATGCCACTCAATTAAACAAGACAACAAACTCTATAAAGTCTATCACTATAGAAGAGTTTTATGATTAAAATATGTTAACTTTTAATTTTTAGGTCCAAATATAATTTTCTCCTCTTTTTTTTTCTTTAATTCATAGTTTTTAATTTCTTTGATTTTAAAATATATTTTTAAACTAACGATTAAGAAATTCATGATGATTTTCATCTCACACGTTCTCGTATCAAAACTATCTATTTATTTCAAGATGATTGTGATGATTGTTTTAACAGTGACTTTCATGGTATGTTATTTTATACTTATGTGACAACAAATTTATAATAAATTTATTAACTATCCATAATTTAGTGTAAAGTCATTGAACAATAATTAGAGTGTGTTAGGGATACCTTAATATTAATATTTTTTTATTTTAAAGTTTTGGTTTAAACATTTAGACTAAATTTTTTATTTTGAGTAAAGGTGTGTTTTGTTGACAAACTTCTTCACAAACACTTATATAGGAGAGAAATATAGTCTTTCTCAGCGATGGACACGTGGTCCACCTCCCATAATATCTCTGGTTGAAACATTAACTCTTGTTTCAGAATTTGTTAGTGAAGATAAAAGAGCTTACGTGGGAGTTTGTTTAATCACAAATTTCAATCTTTTTCGTTCCTCACACTTCATTCATTGTGAGGAAAATAGAGTGTGGTCCTGCTTCTTCTATGCATGTGCCTTCTTCTTCTACCCTTCTTCCCCTCTCCTAATTCCAACATCTGCCCAAGGAGAGAGACATTGTTCTATCATTTTTTGTTTTTGTTTTTCCTTCCTTCTAAAACAATTTGAAAGTAGTTCATTGCTGAATCATCACAAGAATTCAAAACCAGTACCAGCTCCATTTATTGCTTTTCGTAACAACCATGCATATATTGGTTTAAATGGTTGTGATTATTCTAGAGATGCAAATAATGGAGTGCGTCTTGTTTCTTGAAATAGGTTAGTGATATTCCTTAAAACATATATTATAAATTACAAGGTGACGATAGGGGCGTTTGGGACCCAGTTTTCAATTGGTGAACAGTTCCAAAGCTCTTCTTTGTTATACATAAAGTGTTTAGGAACCCACTTTTCTCCTTTTGATTCTCTTTCTCTTTGAAGCTCCCTTTGTCTTTCTTCCACACGTTTCTTTGCTTCTTTTGCCTTTTCCCAGTCTTTGCTTAAGATGGCTTCGCTTAACTCACTCCAAACAAGACCTGTTTCTGTTGGCCATACACTCTGCATATGTAATGCACAATGTATATTAAAATGGAAGATTTGCACATTCACATTGTCAACAATTGAGAAAAATAAAAGAATATTTTCTTACATATACTCAAAAGATTTAACAGTTATATACGATAATTATTATTACCTCTATATCCTTGACAATAGGAGCTTGCAGTCCTGATATAACTTCCTCTGCATTGTATATCACTCTTACTTCTGCATTATCTGTATTCTTCGCTGTTACAGTACTGCAACAATGCATTTATGGCATTAATTGGACTCGGAACATATCATCATCAGCGCATGATAAGGAAACAGTTCACAAAAAGTAGGTAAAAAGGTTGGTTTTCATTTCTGAGAGTTAATAAAACTTCAAAGTGAGATAGATACCTACCTATCCCAATGACCTTCAATATTATACAGAATCTTTTTAGATAATGAATCAAAGATCTTCCCTTTAACCATTCTCCGATTTTTCCAGAAGCCAAGGAAAGATTGGCTTATGTAGCTTAATTCTGTGACAAGACCTGTTTCTATGCACCGGATAGTGACATTGCCAACCCAATCAGTCCCGGGGACTGGAAAAATTCTGATAAGGATATTAGGAGAATTCATTTCATACGTCTCTCCATGATTGTGGAGCTTCAGCAGCCGTTTGCCACACACATGAGCTTCTACTGCAGTACCTGCATGATTCATATTGTTATGTATATAAGTCTTTTTTTTTTTTTTTTAAAATTGAATTCAAAGTTTCTAGTACCAGAAAAGATTAGAACATTAATATCGAAGCAGACAAAAAATTAATGGAAATGGGTAATATTTATTTTATCAAAGAACAGGTATATATGTTGAAGAACTTAAATTACCAGTGAATTTTGGAACAGTAGAGTTGCACCATATTATTTCTATGTTCTCCTTGCAATCGGTTGCATGCAGAGCAGAAACCGGAGGGTGATGTGAAACCTGAGAACAAAACATGCATGCAAATATCCATGTGTGAGTATTGAGATTTGTTGCAACAGGGTCATGGCCAAAGTGAGAAAGAAAAAACACAGTGAATAAGTAGTACCTGCTCGAGTAAGACATTGAGGTTTCCTTTGGAAACATGGTGAGTCTCACCAAGAGTGGGATTGTAGGGAGCAACACCAAAACATAGGGGGCGCACGTTAGAAATGGTCCATGCTACAACAGCTACGAGTCTATCCAATGGTGTGTTGCCACTGTTGATGTTGCTGAGGATGTCTAACGCTGTGGAATATACGCCCTCTGCATAGCACTGAAGCTCTGACTTGGGCATGTTGAACACAGGTGGAAGCTGCACCAATGATTGATTTACAACTCTCAGAACTTTTTCCAGTCTCTGGGACTGATTTGATTGGTAAGTAGCTTACCTTGAAGCAAGAGACATCGGATCCTGGGCGCACATTACTGAAGAGACTTAATATGCGCCGCAAAATGTTTGGAGCTTTATAGTCTATTTCCGGATCTGATTGCCTCTCCAGTGAAAATGGCCTTGTCAGCACTATTTTTCTCTCCTCCTACACCACATCAACATGCCAAGAAAACAGAACATAATACACTACATACATAAATGATATCTGTAATTGGTAACTGAAAGAAATGAATAATGAAGGTATGAATTTGTACTTACCATTGTGCATCTGCAACAACTAGTCTTGTAGAACTGCAAAGCTAGCAAAGCTGAAGCTGAATATATAGTGGTTGCATAAATGGTAGCTACTATACTATTCATGCATCATTACTACTGGTGAAAAATCTTGAATATACTCTACCTACCTCACCTTCCACACTACCGTACAAATATTAACTATGCCAGTCATCTCCATTTTTATGAAAATAAAATTGTATAAATAAATTATAATTTAGGGTAAATACTAACAAATGAAACAATTAAATTAGTTTATATATATACATATATATATATATATATACATTGATTCTTGAATATAATTTAGATGTGAAATTAATTTTTTATTAACATTCAGTAGAAAAATTTTGTCAAAAAATACCAATAATTTAACATCCGTCCGCAATATTCGTAAAAGATTACCAACAAATATATTTATAAATAATATTTTATTAGTTATTATTTCTGACGAATTTTTTCCATTGGTATAAACTTTTTTCATAGATAATTTAAATTTTATCAATCGATAATATAAATTTATCGACAAAATTTTACATAGTTAAATATAATTTGACGTTACACTTTAGTAAAAAGATTGACTCACAAAAATTGTTTCATATATTATTTTATGAGTTTTTTCATTTATTAAAGTTTCTAATTTGCTTATCTAGATTTATGAAATTATGATTGATTTGATAAATTGTTTAAATATAAGAGCGGCGTGTTTATATTAATTAAAATTTAATGAAATTGGAAACTAATACTTCATATAAATTATCGAAACCTTTTTACTACTAGACCTTAGCAGTTGGTATTTTAGTTTGAAACTTCAAAAGTGTGTATAATTTATTTTATAAGGATCTAAACACTCTACAAGACCTTCTTGCAGGGCTTTGGAAGCTGTTCTATATTAACCTATTTAAAACAAATAATTGATTCGGCTGTTCTTAAAGAAAAATAAATAAAAATATAACCTTTCAATCCGTGTTCACATGCTGCATCATGGACAAGGCAAGAACATTTAACATGTCCCAAGCTATGGTTATACACGCAACCTTTTGTTTCTGTATCGTGTATCGTTTTGGTCCTTTCATTTCTTTTTCTTTTTTTAATTTGGTTTATATTGTCAATCAATTCACTAACGAGATATTTCATATTTGGAAAAAAATATATATTATATTACTAAATATAACCCTTCTTTTCTGTTACATTTAAATTTAGAGAGAATACATAAGAGTAAATAAATTATGGAGCTATGATGGGGGCTGCAGGGACCCATTTATGAGTTGGTGAACAGTACCATTCCCAGGTGTCTTCACTGAAGGAGACCCTAAAATTCTTAGGAACCCAACTTTCTCCTTTCATCCCTCTTTCTCTCATCGTCTTCCTCTCTCTTTCCTCCACACTTTCCTTTGCTTCTCTTGCTTTCTCCCACTCATTTTTCATTATGGCTTCACTCAACTCACTCCAAACAACGGCTGATTCACTTCCCCACACTCTCTGCACATAACAATTACAACAACAACAATACTAATCAGAAAAGGCTTCTGCAGGCCATGCCAGGAAGATTGATTGAGAAATGTCAGGGATTTATAAAAACAAAACTAATTAAATATCACAAGGAAATGTAGACAGAACAGAAGTTAATTACCTCTGCATCCTTGATGATAGGTGTTTTGAGCCCTGAAATGACTTCTTTTGCATCATATATCACTCTGACTTCTCCACTGTTTGTATCCTTTACTTGAACTGTCCTGCATAATTTGATTTGATATGAAATGTTTCACTATAATCATCATGTGTAGCATAATATTCTTGAAAAATCAAGCCATGTCCTCCCTAATTTAAGCATGTCACTTGTGAACGGTTATCTAGCATGTATGACTTTGATTAATCGTTTATCAAATATTTAATGTGTTACAAATTTAGGCTTGTTTAAAAAAGTTTTTTTATCGAAAAAAGAAATAAAATAAATAAATGAACTTTTTCTTTAAGCTAAAAACTTATTAATACAAAAAGTTTAAAGAAATTATACAAGTTTCTATGAATTAAATTATAGATAAACTTATTTTAACTTATAAAGAGAAAATAAAAATAAATTAATTTTGGAGGGAGTGTACACGTACTTATCCCAATGACCATCAACTTCGTAGAGAACTTTGAATAATGAAGAGTCCATGATCTTCCCTTTGATCAGTTTACCATTTCTCCCAAATCCTAAAAGTGAATAGCTTGATCTGTATGATATTTCGGCAACAAGACCTGTCTCAGGGCACCGTATATTAACATTGCCAACCCAATCCATCCGAGGAACCGGAAGAATTCTAATTGAAAGGTGAGGACAATTCATTTCATATGTTTCCCCATGATTTAGGAGTTTCAGCAGCCTTTTACCATGCACTTCAGCTTCAATGGATGTGCCTGCATATTTAGTTTGAAAAACTCTCATGAAATTACAGAACATGGTTGAGAAAGGGTATTAGAACTTGAAATTCGACTTCAGACTGGTTAAAATAAATACTTGTTTTAAGATTATCGTGGACGAATAAGCAATGTTTTGCATGGATTCACCATGGCTTAAGTCAAAGGAACAACATGTAAAGGTTCCACACCCAATTTGACCATCTGTAGGAAGACTGCAAAATTGTACTAGTGATATCTTAATGAAATGCAGCACTTTATAGAATGGATGGTGGAACTACTTTTACACCAAGCTATGTCAAATAAAAGTTTTCATTTTTCACCTTGATATCTCATTTGTAGTTGGCAAACAAATGCTATAATATGAAATATAGAAGGGTCTCAGTGACACACTCTTTTGTAACACTCTTCAGTCATTAGTTAAAATTCATTAGAAATTACAGAATGATGAGTGGGACTCCTTTGTAAGAAGTAAAATTCCCAAGCATTTATAATTTCTAATCAATTTCAGTTAATGATGATAGATTTTAAAAAATGTGTTGAAAAGAGAGTGAATCGCTGATATTTCTGATGAAAAATATGCCCCTTTGTTGATTCTTTTTTAAATCTCGTAATTGGTCCATCAATGAACCACAGAAATTTACTGCATGCTGAAAACTGAAAGCTTCCACAACCATTGTGGATGTTCATTGCCGAGACAGATTTTAATTATCGGCTAATTAATTAGGAATTGGAGGAGAATTTCATGGTAATGGTACATTTCATTTTCTAAAGTATGAGTTAGTGTAGATTTGAGTTACTAATGATCCTAGAAAAAAGTGAAAGATACCATGAAATTTCGGAACAGGTTGTTGCCACCATATCATTTCAATGTTTTCCTTCTCATCTGTTGCATGGAGGGCAGAAACAGGAGGGTTGACTGAAACCTGCAGACACAAGAAGGTGATAGTGTTGCTATATCTAACATCTTAACTGAAGAGAGAGGGTCCAAATTTGAGCACAGTGTGACCAAAGTGTTGAGTACAAATTGAGAAGCAACTAGTACCTGCTCCAGTAGGACATTGAGATTGCCCTTAGAAACATGGTGCGTCTCTCCAAGAGTAGGACTATAAGGAGCCACACCAAAAGATGTAGGGCGTGTGGTAGATATGCTCCATGCTACCACAGATGTGAACCTGTCCAGTGAACTCTGTTCACTGTTGCATTTGCTCAGCAAGTTGGAAGATGTGCAGTACACTGATTCACCATAGCATTGGAGTTGAGATTTGGGAAAATTAAACACAGGCGGCAGCTGTACACAACACAAAATGCTTCAATATGTGATAATTGATATCTATGCCTATTAGACAGTTACCATTTGCTTAAAAGATCATATACATAAAAACTTTTTTCCTTTTCTAATAACCATTAAGTTGGTGTGAAATATCCTCCATCTTTGTTCATGATTAATATTTGCTCAAAAAAATCTGCTCAACCCCTTTGATGAATTTTCGTTCTGAATAAGGGTAACTCAAACTTAAAACCTCACTTTAAAGTTCAATCCACTCACAAATCATAAAAGTTATCCTTCATTCACATATATGATTGTGCTTATATACATTTAAGCTTTAAAATTGTATTCACAATTATAATTTTGTCACAATCTTTCGTATTGCAGAAAATTACAAACAAATGTAATTGATGTAATCTAAGTTTTTTCTTGTAAGTATGTATAAAGAAATTTATCTAGATATTCATAGAATAGAATATGTTAGAGCAGTTAAAACTTAAAATCAATACCATCAATCTTTAATATTAGCTTTTGGCATGCTTTTATTTAAGTAATTTCCTTCAGGCAGTGTAAGGTAATTTGCTGGGTCCAAATGAAGCTCAAGGAACGGGACTAATAAAATTATTGTGAGAGAACTTGCCTGAAAGTTTGTGAGATCTGATCCTGGCCGCACGTTCTTGAGTAAAGTTAACAAGCGACGTAGGAGACTGGGGGCCCTATAAAATGGTTCTGAATCTGACTCACCTTCTAACGAGAAGGGTTTGGTCAGAACAATCCTTTTAGCTTCCTTCTCTTTCTGTACTTCCATCTCGACCTAACCACAATCAGTGACCTTTATAATTATTTAACTAAGATATTAAACTATTTCTAAAAACTGATGTATACAAATGAATTGCTTATAGTCTTCATTTTATATCCGTTGATCTCTTTATGTTTCTTATTTTAATTTCTTGATTTTAGAAAATTTATAATTTTACTTCAATTCTTCATTTTGTATACGTTTATTTTAATTTTTAATTTTATGTTTTACTTAATTTCTTGATAGAATATTAGATAAATATATTAGAATTCAATTGAGCTAAAATAAAATATAGGTAAAATTAAAATTAAAATCGAAAAAAATATCGAGGATCAATCATAAATAATTAAAAGAGAAAAAAAAACTAATTTACACTTTTATAAATTAATCCCTTCTCCTCCACAAAGAAAATCCTAAAGGACCTGAATTTCATCAAATATTGCTAGAAGTGAACAAAAAAAAATTGAGAAAACAATACAAAATATTTTTTATATTCCAAAATAATACTACTATTTTAGTCATATAAAAAAAATAAAAAACGATGTTCTTATCTTTAAAATTAATACCTTTTTTTCCTTCTTATTCAAAATAAAACATTTATGAAAAGAAGAAAATAAATTTAACTTTTTCATAAACTAACTCATGCATAAGCGTAATTTTGACTCAAATGAACGAGACATTTTCCTTCACTTCAAATGAACGAAACTTAATTCGCATCACCAAAAAGAAAAAAGTCCTTATGTCATTTTGTGTTTAAAAAGCAGAAAAGACAAGTCCTTATGGCAGTTTAAAAAAGAGGAACTAAAGTTGGCATCAACCATATTCCAAGGTATCGTGTAGTGGGACAACGAATATCATCCTTTTTATTTTAATTTCTCATTTCGCTTTCACGTGCTTTAAGGTGTGAAATGACAAAACAACATATAATTTATAGTAGCATTCACTACAATGCGTGATTAACTAGAATGTCTAAATACAAACAATACGTGTGCATTCATATGAATACCACTCATTTTTGGAACACTAAAACCACCCTTGGCAGGTGCCGGCAAACAGCCGTAGGAAAACAACCTTATAAAGAATTGAAACATATGCAAATAAAAAACAGTGGATGTTGTTATTGCGGGTGCACACAAAAGAAGCATGCTCAATCACATATGGAAATAGTTGAGAAACACAGGGCATACCTTCTAGGGCTGTGATGAAGAAGAAGACGCAGAGTTTGGCAGTGAATTTGGAGAGGAGTGAGATGTGAGAAAAAACTGTGTATCTTCTCAAACTATTGCCACTTTAAGGATTTGATTAGAGAAACAAAGTATGTCATTTGGGCCACTGAAAAATGGACACCGAAGGACACGTTGAGTGCGTATAGTAATTAATTATATGGGCTGCGTTTTTCCCTTAACTTTACTCCTTTTAGAAAACTAGTAATTATAGTGGCATTTGGATGTTTGGAAAGTTTGGAGCTTGGGAGTTGGAATGGAACACAGATTCAACAAATAAACACTCCATCTCAATATCACAACAGTTGCAATCAAATTATGTACTAATTATGTATAAAGACTAAAAATATATTTGAATCTTAAAATTTTATGATTTTTTCTTAGTTTTGACCAATTTATTGCCCTTAATAAATTATATTAATTCAGTTTCATCTCCTCTAACCAAGAAGGATATCATCCTATCATTTAATAAAGAATTTAAGCCAGCAATGGTGTGTCGGAATGAAAAATAATTAGTGATCCTAAATCGCATGGTCTTTAATTAATTATCACGTGTAATAAATTATTATTAGTATTATTATTATTATTTAATAATTTAAATTTCAAATGCATAGAAATTATTAAAACCTCGATAGTCCTAGATTATCATTTTTTTCTTAAATTGATAATCGTATACAATTAGATGAAATTCATTAAAACTTCATGAATTTCATACTTAGTGAGTCATTTAGTTTTTATTAATAACAGTAAATTTTAATCAATAAAAAAAATGTTTTTAATGTTAGCACTCATCTCTAATAAAGAGTAATCTCATTTTCTCTTCTTTATCCTTCAATATATCCTTCTCCATCCTTTTTAAGAAAAATAAAAATAAAAAATAAAAATAAAAGTCTAAAAATATAAACATATTTCTCCTCCCATTATTTTCAACCACAGAAACACAAGATAAATAAAATGTTGTGACTTTACGCATTTTAATAAAAAATTTATAAAATTAAGATAAAATTAATTATTCTCACTTGAAAAAAAAAACCAAAGGAAGTATGAAAATCTAATATATCAATTATGCACAAATACATAATAAATTATATTAAAAATTTAATTAAAATATTTTTTATTTCTTTTATTATTAAAATAATAAATAATTAAAATTTATATTAAAGTAATAAATATAATTATTAATAATAAATAAATATATTTTAGTTTCCAATTATTTCTATTATTTTATTTTAATTTAAAAAACCTCGTCTTCTTTTTTTTTCACATTTTTCACTCTATAAACTCATCCTTCAATCCAATCACAAATTTAATCATTATTGTAAAAGATACTGTAGATGAATTTGGAATTTTTCATTCAATTAAATGCCTGCTCAGAAATCTCTTCACATAAAAACTTGTATCATAAACTTAAACTTATTTATACAAATTTTGAATCAGTTTTCCAAATCCTTAAACTGTAAAACATATACATTTGCTTGGAGAGTTGGAGTTGCAACATTGTGTCATTGATGAAGCCACTCAAAAGTCTATCATTAAAAACATTTGTCTTAGGATTCTAGGATTTAACCACCTCAAATTGTTATTTTCAGCAAGTCAATTAACTACAAAGATTCCTCCGTACATCACATACATACCTAGAAGCAGCAAGTGTCGTGGACCACTAGTAGGTTTACTATATCATGGAAGAAAGTATATGAAGAAGAAAAACGATCCCATTTTGAACATTCTTTGAGGAACACATTAATACTAGAAGAAGCAAATGCAAGAAGTCAAGAATCATGTCCTATGACAGCTTAACAATTATACTTTGGCCCACAAGAGGAAAACCAGTTGCTTCTATTCAAAGAAAGTGGTAATTTGCTTTCAAACTATGACTGCTGAAATAAGAGCCATGGAATTGAACTAGCCAACAGCATTGGTAAGATTTATGCTGTGCCATTGATACTTTGTGTTATACTACTCATTATTTCATGTATTACACATGCAGTAAGCAAGATACTTTTGGGGAATGGGGCAGATACAAGGAAAAACTTATGACGAAGGATTACAACAATTTACTAGACCATATAAGCAAAACTTTATATGTGGAAGAAACTAGGAATAACCCCTTACACCTGCTTACCTTTACATTACATTACACCTATTCATGATTTCATATTATATATATATTTAGACGAACTAATATAGCGCCATACCTTATTCCCCACAAGTTACAAAGAATATTACAAGCAGCACTGCGTTGCTTTCATTTGCTGACCAAACTATGCTATGACATCTATCTTCGGAATCCATTGGCCAGAACAGGAATCCTCACCTTGTGCCCTCTGCTCCCTTTCAGTAAAACCTCTCCAAAACTATAAGCTCCTGTCACTGACCGCACTGACAGTGTCACCGAAAATTGACGGGATGCACCTGCTTTGATAGTCATTGCCGGAGGGTTGACTTCAATGGCAACAGCAGGCTCCATTCTGGCTGTGATCACATAGGTTTCTTCTTCGGCGACATTTGTGACTGTGCGTGTGACAACTTGAGTTCTCACAAGATGGGAAATTGTGATAGATGGGGTGTTTAAATTTGATGGCTTGCCCATGGTGGTGTTACATGGTGTGTGAGTGTAGTTCCTTATCTCATGAACATCAATGCCAGGTGTTGTGCACAAGAAACCTAGATAATCCTCGTATCCTGCAAAATTGATTAAGCAAATTTATTAGAATATAATTGAAATACATAGAGTGTTTCCACTGCTATCCAATCATGGACTGCTATTTAATGAAAATTGAGTCTTGTAATAATGACTTTCTTTTACTGTATTGTAATAATGACTTGAAAAATCATATTTAAGGTGATTTTACATATCATAACTACTATCATTATGCGTTGGTTTTACCCCTTGTTTTAATAATAATATTTATATCAGGCTCCCAATGTTTGAGTAAATAGAAAACAACTGTAGAAAATCCCAGCTGTGGTTAAACAAATCTAACAACTGATTTTAATTTCGTTTGTATACATGTTTATTTTTTTCAGTTTGATCAAGATTCACCAGTTGATTTCTTCTTGTCCTAGACAACCACATTTTCATTGTAAAGATTCTTTCTATTGAACTTCTCGTAACCACTGAACCAGTCAAAAAAATGTGTTCAAAGAAGTTCATGAGTTTTACCAAGATTAATCATATACGTGTTTACGAGTTGAGTGGGAGTTTAAACTTGCTAAGACAAAGAAATAGTCAAACTAGGGAAGAGGAAATCATACGTGCATCAAAGATGAGTCCAGGGTCTAAGGCAGCTGTTGGATCAACATGTCCACTCCCATAATCAAAAGGAGTAGCTTTAACCAGCTTCATAGCTTCTGATTCAGATGTTTGCTGGGCTAGAAGAGGATTCCCTGCTCTGTCTAGAGTTGTTGATGTTGTCATCAAAGCTGATTTAATGGCAGCAGGGCTCCAATGAGGATGCTTCTGCTTTATAAGAGCTGCTATTCCAGCTATATGCGGTGCAGACATGCTGGTTCCAGATATCATGGCAAAACCCTCACCTGCACAAGAAAAAAAAAAAAAAACTGCTATCAATTATATAATATATCACCAAGTTTTTCTTCTAGTTTTGTCCCTCACCTCCTTCAAATTATCCAGATGTAAGCTCAAAACAAAGAGATACCCTAAGCATCAGTATCTAATATTCCTATGTTGAGCATATTAGTTTGACAGGTTTTATTGTACAACGTACATGTTCTCCTTTTTCTACCAAGAGGGCTCTTGTCCGGTTTGGTATCTTGGCTTGTCTCAGTTATTGAGGAAATTCTCATATTATCCACGTGAACAGAAAAAAATGAAATCCAGTTCAAAGCAGCAATGCAGCATATCTCCAATCAATCTCTTTTTTTTGGAGAACCTAGACCGCACACCTCACTAACCCATATGAGCGTAAGCCCAGTCATGAGTTGAAATGTACAATTGAAGGTAGAAGTTTTTGAGTAACAACAACAAACAAGACAACTTAGTAAAGTCATCACTTACCAACATAATTTGGCTCATCAGTTCCATTTGGACACCAAGCAGCCCAAATCAATGAACCAGGAGCTAATATATCTGGTTTGAGAAGATCTGCCTCTTGGAAGCTGAAGTCCTTTATATTTGGTCCTCGAGCAGAGAATAATGCTACTTGTGGTGCAGATTTATGCAGAATAGGCATCAAACCATCACCGATTTTACCTGTACCTTCAAACCTCTTTACCCGCCCAGTCCAATCTCTTAGTGTAGTGATATTATAATAATCTATAAGTTCCTGAAAAATAACAATTTTAAGGTTAAATCACATGATAAATAGTGCATACTTTATTATCATAAACAAAAGCAAAAAATTATTGACGAAAATGTAGAACAATGAGATAAGAACAGTGGTAACTAAGATAAATATTTGACTGTGGAATAAAGCATAGGCAAACCCGATAAGATTCTTTTCCTTTAAGGAGGGAGTTAAGAACGGGCCAAGCTCTTTATGACTTCTTTGGCACAAATTGAAAGTCTAGTTTGACATAAATTCAAATCTACATCAATGTACCAGTACAAATGAGTTTGATTACCTTAGAATAGCTGACATCTGTGATGAGAATCCCAGGGAGGCCAACTGGGACTGGATCAAATTTTGTTCCTGGGGAAACATTTTCGACACAAAGAACAAACCCAACTGCACCAAGGGCTTTTGCTGTTTCTGAGACTTTCTTGATTGATGCAGTGCCAACAACAAAATTGAAGGAATAACCACATAGAAGAATATTGCCCTTTATCAAGTTCTTGTTTAAAAGTTCTGGTCTCTGGCAATCTGTGGGGCTGTACTTCATAACTGAAGAATCTAGTAAGGCATCATTTGCAGCAACCAATGTGTATGTTTCGTTCAAATGTGTGGAAGCTGTACAAGCCATTATGCATATTTTAGCAAAGCAGATTTGGTATTGAGTAGTTAACGTATACAAGGGGAACTAAAACAATAAATCAACTGTGGACATCAATATATCTGGTTTGCCAATGCCATGTAAGCATAAATTTACCCAACACTGGAGAGATCTTATTGCTTCAAGAACTCATGAAATTTGCTTTCGAAACAACATTGCATTAATAACTAAACCCCAATATAACAAAACAATCCTAATTGGTGAAGATAGTTAATATCTATACAACTCTGCCACATTTCAAGCATTAAGTAGTCAGTCAGTGATATATATTTTCAGAAAACGGATAATTTTTATAAAATCATAAACAATAATATTTTATATCATTAGGAAGTACTCTGCTTCTACAGAAAACTAGTACATGATGTACATATACATCCTCGGTCACCAGAAGATATGTTGAAAAGCGGTCTAGCACTTAGCAATTGTCAGTACAATGTATCTAGGCTGTTAAATATTTTATTACTATCTTCAACTTAAACTGAAAATAATTTACAAACCAAATAACAGAACAAGTTTTGTTGCAGGCACTTTTAATTAAAGGATGAGACTTTTCTCACTAAAATGCGTCGACCACTTAAGGTGAAAGCCATTCAGGAATCAACATATCGGATATATATTTAATAAAGCAAACTTCATTGAAGGAATAATAATACCAAACATTTTCATTCTGACTACTACTATAATTTAACAATGAAAGCTAGCTAGTACATGCATTTTTCCCATTATAGTAAAGGTGGATATCCTGTACCTTAGTCCCAAGGAGGACATTTCTACACTTGGAAATAAATGATGTCACACACAAAAGAAAAAGCCAAGAAAATTTAAACTTGTCTTATATCCTTTTTAGTGGTACCAAAGAAAACAAAGTTAAAGATAACGTGAAGCAGTAACAGAAAAGAGATAAGTTTACTTGAAAACATGTTTTTGTTTATGTTTTATATTCTTTTTTCCCAGGATTCGGAAGGGGAAACTTATTTTTGAGTTTCCATCAACTAAAAATGAAAATTTCTTCCAAAATCTTCTATATTATACCTCACAAGTCTCAATGTCACTCCATATCACGACTCCCAAATCTCAATGTCAGACCATTAAAAAGAATAATTTATCAGAATTTATAAAACTCACGTGATAACCCAATTCCAGCTAGGGTTTTTCCATTTCCAAGGATCAAATGGTTTTTATATCTACGATCATCAATTGCAGCTGCTACCGATGCTATCCATGGACTGTAGGAAACCAGGGTCTTTGGAAAAGGACCACCATTTCCCGCAGCCTGTGCGACAAATACACCAGCTTTCACAGCTCCAAGAAGTGTAGCATCAAAAGGGTTCAAAAAGGTAGTTCTGGTGGCTGCTGGAGGACTGTTGGGTCCAACTGAAAGGCTGAGTATATCCACTCCATCATATACAGCCTGTAGACACTCAAATTTTGTAAATTAGAAATTTTGAGATAGAATACAAACACGAAAAAATGAGATTGCGTGACAAATTATTGAATTTTATATAGAATGCTAAGATTTACAGAAAAATAAACAGTGCAGCTGGAATATACAATAATATCCACTCATAAGCAATCTAGTGTGATAATCTTGCCTGGGTGGGAGAGAAAGTAATTTAAGTGATTGTATGAGAGGGGGGGGTAGGAGGTAGGGACTATTTCATGAATTTTAAATCAACGTGTTTATATATAATATTCTTGTATACCTGATCAATTGCAGCAACTACATCTGCAACAAACCCTCCAAACAGTCTATAGAGTGCCTTGTACACAGCAATCCTGTAACAGAAACACCAAATGTCTAGTGAAACAGAAACAATTGTAATTCCCAGTTTTAAAAGAACCAAGGCTATTGTTCCTCACCTAGCACGAGGAGCCATCCCACTTGCTCTCCCAAATTCATGGCCATGCATTCTCACAGGAATTCCATTATTCCCGGCTGCAATAGAGGCAGTATGACTTCCAGGAGACAACACGGTAAAAACAGAGGATCATTAAAAAGAGTTATCAAATTAAAAGATAAATGGCTTAAATCATAATATTGTCATTGCTAAAACTCCACTTCAAGTTCTTCAAAGAGTAACAATGAAGAACTAATGTTACTTTCTCATTATTTTCTTATAAGAAAGATTGAAGCAAATGACAAATTTTGATATCTTACAATCTTGTAGAAAGGGAACATGTGAAGAATTCCAAGGGAAGAAGTTCATAAACAAAAAAGGTGGAAGATCCTAACCTTCCATGTCCATCCCCATCTAGAGGAGACGCAAAGTCAATTATAGGATTAAATGCCCCAGCAGCTATTGCAGCATGAGCAAAGTGTTGTGCTCCAACAATCTTCCCATTGCAGTAACTTCTTTTGGTATCTGGATCAGCTTCACATTTTCCCCTATACTTTGGAACTGGCCCATATGGCTCGGCATTATGAGTTGCAAAACTTGGGTGATGAGGGTAGATCCCTGAGTCCACGAATCCAATGACAATGTCTTCTCCAGCCCTATCAAAGCCGCCTCCAGTTGGCCAAACCCCAGTTGGAAGCCCTAAAAATTGTGGGGTATGTGTTGTATGTTTCCTCACTTTCCAGTCCCTCTCAACAGATTTCACTCCTGGAGCACGTCTTAGAGTTTCAGCCTACTAATATAAAGGGATAGCGTGTCGAAATTAGAGTGAGGAAATGAATTCAAAATATTCTAGTTAGTTAGGTAAAGAATAATAAAAGGATAAAAGAAAACTTCACCTGTTCGGGGGAAATATGAACAGCAAACCCATTTATAAGATGTCGATAGCTGTAGAGTTTCTCGTAAGTCCCTTCCTCAAACAGCAAACCCAGCAGCATGTCATGTTTTTTCTCAAGATGGCGAGCATAAGAAGTAACTGATTCACTGGAAGAAATTTTAAATAGTATAAAAGTTGAGCAACCACATTATCCAATATCCATTTATTGTTTCATCACATACTAGAGGAGAAAAATAAAGGCCAAATTTTTTTGTTTAGGTAATACTAAAATTATTGCTCAAAACAGAGTGGGGTGGTGATCATTGCATTGTTTTCCTCAAAAATGAAGAGAAAAGAAAAGGTACCAGCTGTAACATATTGTTTGCAATCACTAGTTATCCTACACAAGAAATATAAATATCTCTACTTCACAAATAATTCAGGTTTCAAAGAATAACTTTATATAAGCAATAGTTTAACAGTTACTTCTTAAGAGGGTCTAAATTAAATTTACTCATGGAGAAATTAAATTAGACTCTTAAAAGATCTATTAACATGTTCACCTCAGCTAACAAGTCCAATCCAAGACTCACAGGGATATTTTATTGAAGAAAGAAACAAGTCAAAGGAACATCTCTTAACTATTAATAATGACAAACAAGAGTAGAGAGGAAGGTATACAAGTACCTTTCGGTATCAATCTTCTCATCAGATTCCACTGCAGTAGCTTCAAACCCATCAATACCTCCAGTGTAGCTTATGATAGGCTCACCTTCAACAGTTACTATGTAAACCTCAGCAGCTCCAGAAACCAGAAGTGCAGATAGAACAACCAACACACACCCAAACTCCAACAATCTCATTTTACCAACCAATCCCCAACTCCAATAGCTTACAAGATCTGAGTCAAGTCCAGTCAATGTCAACCAGTTAGACAAAATGGTAACCAAAAATTCACTAAATAAAAATCACAAGCTGGTTCCACGTCAAAAACTAAAACACCCCTTGTGAAATTTGGGCTCAAAGCAACAAATTTTACCAATGCCCACTCACTCTGATCCAAGAAGCCAGCAGTTGCTCACTCACATAAACTGGAAGCAGAGAAAAAACAAAAAAGCACGTGAAGGTGAAAACAAAATAAAAATAAGAATGAGGAGTAATGAAGAAGAGGAAGCAAAGAATCCTTGTGAGAGAGAAAAGCAGAAGAAGATGGAATCAAAGAGAAAAAGGGCATGTTTTGCATACGTACTTCCCATACACGGCAATGCACTCAGTCAATTCATTCACATTGCGGTGATCAGTGATCTAACGGTCACTGTTGAACCTGAAAGCCATGAAAGAAGAAGAAGAAGAGGAAGATGATGGTGAGTGAAGAGTGGGAGTGTTAGGGTTTGGTTTATTTGTTTAATTGAATGTCAATGGAGTGAAGTAAGAGCATCATGGCTAATCTTGAATCTTGATGCAGGGAAGTAATATTAATATTGATGTTAGTATTATTAGCAATAAACTTTCATTGTTTATCATTATTATGGGAATCATTTTGTTTGCGTTATTCAGGTTTTAATGAATTTAATTAAATAAAAGTGTATGTATGTGTGTGTGTGTGTGTGTTTTTTTTTTCTTTTAGCAAAATTGCAAGGTTGGTTCTGATTTGTTCCCAAATTAATAGTATTAACTAAAAGGTGGGAAAGGGTACATTCGCGCGCAGGCTGTCGGAGCAGTTGAGGTGAAAAGACGAGATTGCCCTTGACGTTTGGTGGCGTTTACGCGTGTCCGAAATCACAGGGATGGGAAAAGGGATGCATACTCATTATTACTTCTATTATTATTATTATTATTATTATTATTATTATTATTTTGCATTTCTATTATTACACTCGCTGTCACAGCTGACAAACCCATTTATTCAATTTGGACTTTTGGAAGTTAATTTTCTTTACGAAAATCATTTATCTTTTTGTTCATTTAAATTGGTTTAGCAGTGGAAATTTGAGTAATTTATTATAAATTTTAAGTTTAAAGGGTACTTTTTCAGTTAATATGTTTCTCTCTCTCTCAAACTTGATGGATGTGGAAAGGAGATAAAGATTCATACTCAATTATATTTTTCAGTTAATATGTTTCTCCTAAATCTTAATAGTTAAAGTTTTTTAAGAATTTGATATCGAATCCCATTAAGATCTATTATGTCTAACTAAAAGCATTATTTTATTTTAATTAGTCCTTAGTCACACTCTAATCATCTCATCTCACTTTATTATATTGATTACCGCGTACATGAATTCTCCTTTAAAAATGAAATCAATGGGAAACACTAATAATAATAATAATAAAGTCTCCAACTCCAAATCCTAGAACCTTAATAAATAAATAAATGGTGGGATTTAAAGTTTTGAGACTACTATAATATGAACTTGATTACATTGGAGACTTTGCAAATAAACAATGAGGAGAGTAATGATTATGTATATTATCTAACTTTGTCCATGTGAACATTTCATGAAGATTTGTTATTTAATAATGTTGAGAGTCAAAAGGAGAGTTTAGGTGAGTGGACTAAGAAAGCTTTATGTTAATGTTCATCATTGATGGTTACTATTTTAAATATATATATTTTTTAATTTTATTCTCACCATTATTAATATTTTTACTCTCTATTGTTTTATATATATGATATTTATTGTAATTTAATTATAACACCGCATTTATTTTTAACATATTACTTTATTATTAAAATTTATTATTTTATTAAATCATGTTAAATTTTGAATCTGTACCTTTCTTTAGTGTGATCAGTGTAGCATAGTGGTGGGAAAAAATGGAGAAGAAAAATGAATTAGATGCAATGGAGTGAGTTAAATGCAATGGAATAAGGAAAAAGAAAGAGGAAGATGATGAGAAAAATAACAAATAGGATGATGAGTTAATTTTAAATATTAACGAAGTTAAATTTAAGTAATATAATAATTATTTTAAAACATGTAAAAAAAAAAAAAGATTGAAATATCATTTTACCCAGTGGAAACATTGTGTAGTGTAGATGTAGACCCATACTTTTATTATATTTTTTTATTCTAATTTATTAAACTTTAATATATATATATATATATATATATATATTAATTTTAAATATAAATACACTTAAAATATATTTTTTTTATTTTAATTTATTAAAATACACTTAAAATTTGAAAAAAAACATATAATTAAAAAATAAAAAATAAATTATATTTTTTCTTTATTAAAAAAATAATAAAATATGATTAATAGAATAGAGAAAATAGAATATAAAATAAATTAGATTATTACTTATTTTTATTTTTAGAATACGTTCGGGAATGCTGATTTATTGAAGAACAAACCTGAGTGATTGGGCCTACCCCCTTTAAGTGGTGATAATGGACCACAACTATTTATAATTTTTTTCTTCTGATTTGTTTATTTATTTATGCATTCTGACACATTTTTCAAACTTATCATAATCCTCATTTATTCATACTAGTACTAGAGGTTAGGATGCTAAAGCAGCTGGTGAATTCACAAAAGGATTGATAATTTTAATAGTTATTTTATCTTAGTCATATGATAAGAAAGATCGATTTATAAATTTATTTTAAAAAATATTTATAAATAAAAATATTATATTTTTATATTGTATTATTAAAATATATAATTAATTTAATTTAAATTATTTAATTTATTTAATAATATTATTAATTACTAAATATATTTTTAAAAAATATTTATATAATTAAATGTATAATTTAAAAAATACATAAATAAATTTATATAATTATTAATTCGTACTTTTTAATTAAGGCGGGTCAACGTTTTAAATGGATTAAATGAATTAGTATAAGATAAAAAATAAAAAATAAGTTATCCTATTTTATTATTCTAAAAATATATAATTTTTTAATTTAAAATAGGCTTGATGAAATTAAAAGAAAAAAAATTTGAGTATAATAAATACATATCAACGTGCAAATAATATTTATATTGATATCTCATTTTATTCTTCTGTTATGAATTGATAACCTAAAAAGCGAAATAATATTTTGTAAAATAAATGACATATTTTTAAAACAAAATATAACATAGTTATTAAATGTACATAGAATATTAATGATTTCACTTTCCCAAAAAATTCATACTAAGTAAGCCAGGAACTTTTTAAAAGCAATCAAATGTGGCATGGCTTTAGAAATTAAGGAATTTTTTTAAAAGAAGTTCTTATTAAGAATTACTTAATAATAAAAATAAATATTTTATTATAACAATTATTTAAAAACGAATAAAAATGATTTCATATTTTTTAATTTTAAATATAAAATCTATAATAAAATATTTATTTTTATTCCAGTCATTCCTATTTTCTACTTAAGAAGTAATTTGGAACGTAGCAGGTGGTAAGTGTCATCTTGTCTTCTCCCACAAATTGCCATGTTTTTGTCATACACATGAATCTAATATCTTTCTTATCTGCTTTTCAATCTTCTTTATCACCTCCCTTTATGTGAATATTATGTTTCTTAAATATATTGTTGGAAGTTCAAATTTGTATAAAACAATACATATGGAGAGTAATATATATTTTTTAATAAATTTCAATAAGACATCATGATTTTTTGTACTGAAATAATAATCCTCATCAACCTAATTCATGATTAAACAATGGCATCATGTCACATGTCAAATGTGTAAAATTTAGTTGGGGACGTTGACATTTAAAACTGATAATGTATGCATTAATTAAAATTAGTTTTTGAAAAAATAAATAATAGTTTTTATAAATTAGTTTATATATAATACATTACTGAATTGAAACAACATATAAAACACATCTTATTAATTACATTATGCCAATGATATATTTTTAACAAATGTTAAAAGATACTATTTTGTTTTATAAACTCTTCCTATACTATCTTTTTTTCATTATAAGATATTTCTCTATCATTACTCCATCTATTACCTAAAAACACACAAAATATTCAGTATAATTCTTCTTTTTCTCGACTTAATATTATTTTTTAAAAACATTTCAGTTTATATGTCTTTTATATAGAAAAAATTATATGCATTAAAATATAAAAAAATTGTGAAATAAGAGAATTAATGTTAATGTTGACATTCAAAAATATGATAGTGAAAATATGTTATAAAAGAAAATTTATTAGTCAATTAAATAAAGAGTTAATGTTAGTGGTAAATAGAAGAAGTTGGAAAATTGGAGTTAATATGTTAACTGTGAAAATATAACTTAAAATGTTTAGGTATCATTACACGCGTACACAACAATCCCCTTGATACTTTTTTTATGAATTATTTATACCACTTGTAAGGTACCGAATTATGATGCAGATGCCAACATAAAAGTGAATATTTTTTATCAGAAAAAATGAAGTGAAGTTTATAAGAACTTATATACTCTGTTGAACCAAACCATTAACTAGAAGAGCAGATTCTGTTGTGTTGATTGGAATAATAAAAGATGAAATATTGTTAAGATGAAGTGAAGTTTATATGGCGATGGTTCCTTTGTGCAGTGCACATGTTGGGAGACCCACTACCCTTGTCTTTATGCTGATACACCACATGTGACCAAAGATGCCCTTATTGATACCAGGGAAAATGAATGTGAACAATGCCAAAATACATATGGCTCAGTGAATTCGTGTAATGTCTTGGGATGAGATGAATAAGAAAACACATTTCTGTCATCTGATGGATCAGATTTGGATGAATGTATCTGACTAATGTCTAGTCAAAGATCAGCAAAGCACAGTCACAAACTGGTTATCATCACACCCTAATATATGCCACTGTTTCTAGACATTGCTACCTCATCATAGCATGCTTTATTACCCTATCTTCATCAACTTTAACACAATCAATGTCCACCCATCTCTAAATAGAAAGAGTACAGCTTAAAAATCATCACTTTATTAATTATTATAGATGTATAGTATAATTATGTTAGAAGTGTAAAGGAACTACAGAATAACATGATACTTTTATTTAATTAGAAAAAATGTCACTTTTTTGCATGTTTTGTTGTACCTAAACATCATGCCCTTTCATTTCTTCCCCCATGCAAAAGAAAGTGAATGAATGGTGAATGCAGTGAGCCCCATCTGGTTTCTTATTCTTTAGCGATTCATTTTCAATCGAAACAAGCACCGCGTAAGTGTGGGTTAATCAACACATACTAAGAGAGAAAAAGGTAAGATTTTTTTTTAAGAAAAGAAAAAGTTATACTTTTAGTATTCTTCGATGCCAGTCGATTGATCATAGCTATCTGGTAAGAGAAAAAAAAAACTATAATTAGTGATTAGAATTCAAAGTAGTATGATTAACAAAGTATAATTAAGTGCAATATGGGAAACTGAAATAGCCACCACCACCACCACCACCTTGTAACTGTTATTGATAAAACGTTTTGCAAACTTTTTCTGTGATTCTTTTTTGTACCCATGTGTTGTGAAATAGGAGTTTTCAATCCCTTTGAAAATGACTTGCACTTGTTATGAATGGGGACAAAAGTGGTTGTCAGTGTGACAAAAGTCATTAGACTTTTTGATGCCAGTTAAGGACACATAATCACCCCAAATCATATCAGTTTTTCCACACATTTACCCTTTTTAGGGATTTTCACAAGTCATGATTTTCATCACTGTTGGGTGAGAATCACCCATTCAATTTGTTGAATGGAAAAGTTAATGCAATATCCCTAGGTAGCTATAGTAGTAGTACCTATTCAAAATTTTAACCTTCTTTATTGTTTGGTCCATGCTTAGAGAGGTGTGATAATTATTATTCCATGGCATCTATCATGGGAGAGGTGGGCTCTGAATTTCATTATTTAAATTTGAAAGAATCACGGACAAAGTTATGTCTTTATTGTTCCTAGTGTTTATCATTTGGCGTTATCCTCCACTTTCAAGCTCCTTGAGTACCTATCAAATCACAATTACCCCCTCATGCAGTAACTAGCAAAATATCAAAGAAAGATACACTATAATTAGTCCCTTCTATCATCTTTCACTCTTATATTTCACCAGCTAAACATTAACATAGTAGGTCAAATTGTTGGTTGGTTTATTTTAGAAAAAATTAACTTTACTCTTTACACTCCAATACCTTCAAAACTTTCTACTCCTTTTTATATGTTTTGCTGTGCAGGTTTGATTGAGATTATTTCTGAGACAAAAAAAGGCATTTAAAGTTTGTATCAGGTGTGGGTAGAAGTCTTGAAATTAAAGTTTGTATCAGCCCAATCATTCGTTTAGGTTAGGGTTGTATCAACTATAGGCTGATAAACTCGTAAGGCCCAACTGTTTCATGCTGAGTCAGGGACTCTTGTCCTTCATAATAGGCCTGTTGCCCCTTTTGTTTGATGGAGTCACAGGCATTCGGTGTTTCATCTGCAGTTACAGATATTGTTGGTATCCTAGTTTGCTCATTGCTATGTTTCTTTTTTAAAATAACTGTGTTATGGCTTATGTAAATGTTAGCATGTTTTATTCAATAAACCAATTCAGAATTATTTGATTTTTAACTAAGATGAGAGATTATATTTGAATGAATGTATTGTCAGTACTAGTCTTCTGGCTTAAGGTGTAAAATTTGTGGTGATTGATGTACACATACATGAGCAAAACTAAAATAGGTAACTTAACATAGTCTTTAGAGGTTAATTGGGTTCAAATTTCAGTTAATTTGCTGTCAGATCCCCTTAATAAGAATTTATAAGATGTTGATATAAATTGGTAACAATGAGTTTCATTCCAAATTTTTCACTGTACTTTGTCTAGTTGAATAGTGACTGATCATCCATTATCCAGTGATATTGGAAACCATTGATCCATAACCAAGGCTCTTTGCCGTCATGCTGTTGTGTTAATAATGTACGTCACTGCCTATTATTTGTTGTGTTTAACGTGTTCGACGAAATGTCTCAATGTATGGTGACAGTAATTGATCTATAGAAATTGGAAACAGAGTGAGAATACAAAAAAGAACACCATCTCTCCAATACAATACCTTTTTGTTTGGGTATAAATTATATTCCTGGTTGGGTCAAAATTGATCGTTAATGGGCCTCCTGAATGAAATTAAAAACTGTGAAATGGGTGAGGCCAACCATTTTCTTGGTCAAAAGAAATCTGATGTGCATATATTACTAGTGAAAAAGGGGCTTTTATGTTAAATAGTTAGAGCTTTTTACGTCGTATTTAAGACTGACGTTAAAATGGGAGACGTAAATTTACGTCGGACCCTTTAACCCGACGTAAATTTACGTCAGTTATCAAGACCCGACGTAATTTTGTGTTACATATACCACTAAACAGACGTAAAAACTTTCGG